GGGGGGGGGGGGGGGGGGGGGGGGGGGGGGGGGGGGGGGGGGTTGGGTAGGAGACGCGGAGGGTGCCCCCTTGCTGCTGCTGGCGCGCATGTTCGCGCAGGAGCAGGCGGCGATCGAAGAGCTGGGGGACATGTGGGTCCGCGACCCGAAGTGGACAGGATTTTTCTTGCCCCAGGTGATTGATTCATTTAGTTTTGCTGCTACTGCTTGTAGAGAAAGTGCTTATGTTGTCTCGGGAAGACGCATGCTCGCGCCCACGGTATTGACACGTCGTGGGCTGTGAGCCCTGATCCAGTCGAGCGTCCATTCGATTCTTTGTTTTCTGCGGTCGGCGCCAATGCTCTTGACGTTCCCTTCCCGCGCCCCCATACATGCTACTATGGTTCCTGTGGCCAATCTCGAGTTGTCCCACCCGCGGCTGCTGTGTATTTATCCATTCTCCCGTCTTGTTTTTCGTGTTTCGTCCGCATTTCGTTTGTCTGTCGATTCGTCGTGTCACGCCGGCGACCGGTCCGTGCGCGTGCGCGCGTACGCCCTTGCAGTACACCCTGTTCCTCCTGTACGCGTCCTTTGCGCACAGCTCTCGCCTGCAAGACCTGCTGCTCGACCGGTGCGGTTCGAGCGTCCAGACCGCCCACGCCCTCTACTGGTTCCTCAGGGCATTTTGCCTGCAAGGGGCGCGGGTGACTCCCGAAGGGGTGACGGCCATCGAGCAGGTGTGTTGGTGTTGGTGTGTGGAGTTTGTATAGAGGGGGCACGCGTGTGGACTAGAGCAGTGCGGAAGGGGGGGGGTTGTCTGCAAGGGGCGTGGGTACCGTTTGGTCTTGTGTTGAGGAGGCGCGCGTGTGGGCGAGAGCTGCGCAGCGGCGGCGGCGAGGGGGGTGTACTCATAGTCGTGCATGCCGTAGTCGTTAGACCATTGACCTCGCATCCCTACAAAGCCGGGACGGAGCACGCCGGTTTCTCACCAGACCAGGCTCTCACATCACCAAGCGCGAAGCGCCGTGAGATATTCGGCGAGTCGCATGAAGGGTGCGCTGCATCCTGCTAAGGGTGTTCGGCATCTTGTGCTTACTTCCTTGCGTACGGATGACAGCTGCGTATGACTTAATTTATTTTCTGGTGCTTTCACTTCCAGAGACAGTTGTAAGCACTGTGTAACTGCCTCGAGGGTGCTTGACCATTTTAACACAACGTGGTGCGATCATCCCCCTTGCGCGAAGTGAGGGTTGTCCACCCCGCACAACATAATCTACTCGACCACCGCGGGGGGGGTGGGGCAATCAGGTCATCGTCACGAATTTCCCTTACGTTCCGCTGCTGTGTTTTATTTAGTGTGTCGTGTTGATTCGTTTTGTTCGTCTGGGACATGACAGCACGAGGGTGTGTGCGGGGACACGCGCCTCAAGGGCACACAAGAGAAATCCGGGCTAGAAAACCTAACCAGAATATGTCGGGGAGGCGGGGGTGAGGGAAAGCTGTTTGCTACGGATGACGGCAGCGACGCCAGCTCAGCTCCGTTTTTTATCCTCCCGCGTTCCTACTGTGGCGCCAACCGATTGCAAACGCAGATGCTGCAAGAGGTGGTCTCTAGAGGGGAACAGCCTGCGCGGGACTTTTGCGAGCTGCGGTGGAGGGACGACGGCGATGCGGTCAGGTAACCCGCCGGCTGCTGTTTCTTTTCGTCAGTGTCGTTGTTGTCGTAGTTGGAGTGATCGCAGCCGTGGGCGTTGAAGTTGGTTTTCCGTAGCGATTGGCGGCCACGTGGCCACGGCAGCATTCTCAGCAGATTGACTTGCCAGTCGATCAGTCGGTCGATCATCGCTCTGTGTGATTCCGACTGGCGATGTGAGTTGTTGTTGTTGTTGCTGTTGTTGTTGTTGCTGTTGTTGTTGTTGTCGGCGGCGTGCACCCATTGGACCGCTAGCCGTTCCCATCACCACTGCTTTCATCTGGCTGTCTCGAGTCTTGTCCGGCTGGTAGAGGTAGTGGTATCGCCAACTAGTGTGGTGAGTACTGTAAACAATTAATGCTCACTAGTTGTTGGCGTGTTTTCGTCGCGCCCCAGGTATTCGGAGCTCTTCGACGCGCCGGACGAAGGGGCCGGGGGAAACCGGTCTCTCAGCGGGCGTTTCGGGGAGACTGTGGAGTTTGTCGACGAGCTAGTTAAGGTGGGACGTACTCAACGACCCGTGTTCCTCTCACGAAGGCAATGTGCCAGGCGCCAACGTAGGCTATTGCTTGGGGCATGGCCTGGCTGCGGCAAATGTGATGCCATCCCATGTGGCCGATAGCCTGCCGCAGAAGACAGTCTAGCGCCTCGAAGGGTGTTTTGGACGTGACGCGCCCGCTTGCTGAGTACCCTCGCCGTGTTCGTTGTTGGACGCACACGCTTGGCGGGTTGTTGTCTTCCCCAACGCGCGAAACTTCACTCAAATGTGGTACCAGGTAGCAGACATGCGCTAGTCTTGTGATCGCCCCCCCCCCTGAAACGGTTCGAAACGAAATGCCCCGCAAAACGTTGGCGGACAGATTTCGACGGAGCTTGCGGGAGTGGGGAAAGAGAGGAGGACGGAGGAGTTGAAGAGCCGATTACGAGAGGTGCAGGCCCGGTTCTTGCCTTCGCGAGCCATCTACATTCCCCTCAACCGCAGGCGTCATCGCGTATACCGAATCGCGGTGGAGGTGAGCTTAGCACGAGAGTTTTATCAATTGTTCGCATAAGGCGGCGGTAGAGATAGAAGCTGGCACACAGGTGGCCTTGCGCCTCTACCGAAGGACTTCCCTCGGAGTGGTGGTGATGCCTCCCTCCCGTGCTTTGAAGAGAGGGTTTATCGTTGATGGAGGATGCTATGTTAGTTGACCCCGTTTCTCTTCCCCGCCCTTTACCTCTCCGTGCCCGGCAGGAGAGCTTCTCTTTCAGCACCAAGGACAGAGCTCCGTATCTCGTGACGCTGGAGGTGCTAGACAGCCGGCTGCAGCAGCAGCAACAGCAGCAGCAGCAGCAGCGGCCACCGCTTTCTTCGGGCTCGGAGCGGCCAGGAGCGGGCGCCAGCGGAAGCGCGGATGGTGCCGCTGGTCGCGCCAAGGGTCGCGGCGAAGGAGAAGAAGGGGGAGGGGCAGTGAAGGTTGGCCTGATCAGGATGCTGACCCCGAAGGGCTTGGGGCAGTCGCTGCGGGAGATGGCCGACAACACGCTAACGTCGCTCAAGCTGGGGGGTTCCACGAAGGACGGGCGTGGCGGGGGGGTCGCTAGTGGCAGTAGCAGTGGTGAGAGTGCCGGGGGCGGGGGCGGGGGGGGGTCAAGGATGGAATTTTCACGTTGGTGAAGGTATTGTGCAGCGCGTGCTGTCCTTTGGAAATGCTGAAGATTGTTATCTAGGGGGGTGGCCTGGAATATTTGTCTTTAAAGAAAGAGGTGCTGCTGTCAAGGATGTAGCTCTCCGCAGATGCCCTCGCACGTCGAGAACATGTTTCAGGTTCTTGGTTTTTTTTCTTGTTCTCTCAACAATCTTTTGACGCCAAGGGAGCAAAGTCGCACCTCAAGAGGGGTTTGGACTCGTTGTCTCTCTGGCCCGTCCGTGTCGTGCTTACGTTGGGCCTACTGAAGCCAAAATCGAACCATTAGACTAACTTTTAAAGGTCGAAATCAAACCACCATTCTAGTCAGCGCTGACTAGAATACTTGTTCTTCGCGTTGGCTTTCGAGCTGGAACCGCGTCTAAGGTGAACTCAAGCGCGATCTCCATTCACGACTCTGGTGTCTGGTGTGTCCCACTTAACTGACCGATACCCCCCGAAACCCTGACGTTACACACCCTCACCCTTCTTCGATTGTGGCGGCGACCACGATGCCTTTCCTGCCGAAGGTGGGGATGATGTGGAGAGCCAGCCTCCCATGGTCGTGCCTCCGAGTGGCGGTGGCGACTTCCTCTCGAAAGGGCCGATGGCAGCGCCGGCAAGTGGCGGCGGCAGAGGGGGCGGAGGCGCTTCTGAGGCCGGCGTCGTATCGGGGCGAAGCCTTTCCCTCCTTCTCCAGGAGCCAGCAGAAAAAGAAGGAGACGCGAAAGGAGGAGGTGGGGCCAGGGGTGGCGGTGGTGACGACGCGCTCACGGTCGCCGCCACCCTCTCGAACAGCAGCGGCTCCGCGGTGGTGATGCCGACCGTTTCGGATGCCGCCGTGCACGCCGCCTCCGCCGCCGCCACCACCGGCAGCAGCAACAGCAGCCCCCCTTCCCCGGCCGCCTGGTCGGTGTTCCCTCGTCCTTGCAGTTCCGAGGCGGCTGCGGCGATGTTGTCCCGAGACGATTCCGCCGCAGAAGAAGCGGGAACGGAAGCAGCGTACTCGCAGCCACCTGATCAGGTCGCCGTGGTCGCGGTGGCGGAAGGAGTAGGGCGGCGAAAAGACGGCGGCGGTAAGGTGCCGGTGTCGGGAGGAGAGAGAGACGAGAGTAGGGATCGAGGCGGGAAGGGGGGGGCGTCTAACGGCATTGGCTGCGGAGATGGTGTTCAAGGTGGCAGCATTGGGGGCACCGCTGGTGGGAGCGGCGTTTCGACCGGGGAGGGGGGGGACGGCGAGGAGGGGGAAGGGGAGGAGGAGATCGCGCAGCGGCTCGTACCGCCGTCGTTCTCCAGCACCAACTTGGTGAGTAAACTACCCCCTTTTTTTTGTGTGTCCTGTGCACACGCGTAGTTTGAGCGGTTACAACACAAGCGGAGGAGGGCACGTCTAGAGCTCATTCTTTCCTCGTGGGACATGATGGTCTTGGGCTGGGCCTTAGGCCCGCCCGTCGAGGTGACACGTTTTTTTCATCTGAAAGAGTTCTTCCTCGCCAAGAGCAGGAAGTAGTGGAGGACCAATGCCCTGAATGTGGTCTTGGTAGTGAGGAAGGGTGACGAAGGTGGCGTGCTTGCTTGCGCTGCAGCCCGCGGACCATCACGCGGCTCACCGTAAACACCCAGGGTGGCGAATGTGCACCGCCGTGTTCTCTGTACACGTATCTTGCGCTGTTGACCGCTCTCACCTGATCGATTGGCTTTCACGCAACCCGATAGAATTGTACCGGCCGGCCTCCCCTGCCTTGGGGGATGCAAAAGTGGCATCCCCTTCGACTGTTACATTCGCTCGGGTGTGGTCTCTCTGCTGCGATTGAATGTATATTTTCTAACAAGCGAAATGCCATGTGTCTGGGGGCTACATGCATGGCTAGGGCCTGCCTAGCGTTTTTTAGTACACGGACGGCCCGCTTTCACCACCCAATTCGCGATACATGACAAATAATCCAAACCTTTACCCTACAGATGGGCATGTGGAGCAGGCCTAGCAAGCGAATGGCGGAGCAAGGCCAGGTTCCGTTCTCTTCCCCGACCAGCCCAAACCCTTTTTTCAGCAACTCGCCCGCTGTTAGCATCAACGACATCGCAGCTACCACCCCTGCCGCCGCTACCTCCGTCGAGAACGCGAGTTCCGCCGCCGGGCCTGACGGCAGTGGGCCGGCCGGAGCGGGCAGCGGCGGTGGTGATGGGTCTTTGAGGAGAGGGGGAGGCAGTGACCGTCGCCTGAGCGGCGAGGAGGAGGAGATTGTCGACGGACCCTCGTCTGTTGCGGGAACCGTCACGCCTGCGCGCCCTCCGTGGGTTTCTAGTGAGACGATGGCGGTGGCGGGGGAGGGGACGCCTGCAGCTGCTCCTTCTCCGGGGACTATTTCCGTGGGTAGCACCGCGGGCGACGGGGTGGAAGCACTTCTGCTGGTGAGCGAATGAAACAACGTGCGTTGAGAATACCCTTACTCCGTAAAGAGTAAAGGTCCCTGAAGTGGTGAATAACCGTTCGCCAACGGAGGTATTTTCGCTCCTATTGCCATGTGGCAAGGCATGGCCAAGCGTGGCTGACGTTAGTCGGCCTTGCTAGGTTGAGAGGTGAGAGTGAGCCTCAGGGCCCGCTTTCACCCTCGGGCTGATCACAGCAGACGGGAGTCTTTTCGTTGCAAAGATCTTCAGACCTCGAGTGCGTCGTTCCCAGGGTCACGGATCCTCACGGTTGTATGTGCGTCCTCACCACTGGGAAGATACCTACCGTATATGACACAAATAACGCACCCCCTGGACCAATTTTTCACAGCTCGATTACGCCACGACGAAGAGGATGCATAAACGAAACGATACATTTTCGGAAAGCTCTCGACGAGACAGCTTAACGCCACCGTTTTCAGCGCTGTGACTCTTTCTGCTGCTAAGAAATCGAGATTTGAAAATCGGTCCAGGGGGTATGTTATCTTGTGTCATTTACGGTATATGCTGGTTTCCACAGCATTTTACCCTACGGAGCAGCAGCGGTACACATCAGTGAAACCGACACGGGCTTACGGGTGGGTGTCCACAGCAGTAGAGTACTGGTGTCGCCATCCCTTTGCTACTGCATGCTCGTTCGTGGTGTGATTTATGTTGTGGCGATAGCGTCGCCGTTGATGCCTGCCAGGAGGGGGCATCCGTACGCAACCGCTCTTCTGTCCGCGGCCGGTCGGCTTGTCCAGCGGTTGATTTTGCGAAAACGCTGCCTCTACAACCAGCGAACCCTCTTTCCCGTTTTCGTCACTAGAAACTCGTCCTCCTTCACCACCACCTCCGATCCTTTACTGCTTGGCTGTGTTGCTGCTGCCCGCCCACCGCCTTTATGTGCCCCCCCCCCCCCCCAACACAAAAGTCGCACGAAAAGGGTGCTCCTGGATCGGCGGGTCGGGGAGGGTACGGGGCAACATTGGCGACTGCCGGGGCGTGGGAAACGCAGGCGAGAACCGAGGAAGACGAAGAGCTCACGCCCTCATCATCGCCGAGCAGGAACAAGAAGAGAAGAACCGGCTTCGGGTTCGGCGGCGGCGGCGGCGGTTTCGGCTACGCGGATCTACCGTCAATGCAACAGCAGCAGCCGCCGCAGCAGCAGCAAGGGGGGGGTCGTGTTTCAGTCGGGGGAAGGGGGGAAGTGTATGAGGAAGACGACGAGGAAGATGAGGAGGACGAGGACGAGGNGGGGGGGGGGGGGGGGGGGGGGGGGGGGGGGGGGGGGGGGGGGGGGGGGGGGGGGGGGGGGGGGGGGGGGGGGGGGGGGGGGGGGGGGGGGGTCTCTCTTGCCTTGTTGATTGTAGGGGGGTACATGGCAGTTGTTGCACATGTTGTGATGCGGTAGGGCAATGGCGACGGGAGAGCCAAAATCTGTCGCTTGCTTCGTCTTAGTTGGGATTCTTGCATTCCCCTACCAACCACCAGCAAGAGGTCACAACAAACCCGACGGCGAGGGAATTCCGAATAGGCAACCCGCCTCAAGTCGATGATATGGAACACGGTCGAGAGTTCGTCCACTCCCACCCGCAGCGATGTTCAAGAAGGGTTATGTTCTCTCGTGCTGCTGCTTGCTGTACCGGCGGCGGCGGCGGTGCGATCAGGTGATCTTCAAGGAACGGTGGCACCAGAAGGAGGCCCGGCTAAGGAGGGCGTCAAAGCTGGGCCAAGCGAGAGAGTGGAGGCTGATGCCAGTCATCGGTGAGAAAACGGCAGAGAAGGTCGAGGCAGGGCCAAGTCGACTCAAGGGGACGAGGACGTGCAAACCGTTGTTACGGGTTGGCATTTACCCTTCTTTTTTTTTTTGCATGATGCGGTTGTTGTGCTGGAGGGGTTGGCTGGGCTGTTGCTGTGATGACGACGAAATGAGCGCACTTGCTTGTTGCTGGTGCTGTGGCTGCTGCTGCTGCTTCTGCTGTCTCTGTAGTCTCATGTGCTTTCCATTTTTTCCAAATTGGCTACAACCGTCGCTCCGCTGCTTGCTTGCCGACATGCACTCGCAGTCAAGGCCGGGGATGATCTACGGCAGGAGCAGCTGGCCTCGCAGTTCTTCGCTCTGGCTCACCGAATCCTCAAGCAGAGCCCCCTCCGTGCACGAGCTGGACTCAGGTACTTGCATCCAGTTACATAAACAGTTTTTACATACTCAAGAGTTTCTGGCATGACGAAATTATTGGATGGAATGTGTTCTTGGTCAACGAAGACGTTTTTTTTTTTTAGGGGGTGACGCGGTGCGGAGGTTGTGTCCTCCCATGAAGTGTTCGTCCGATGTTTTGTTTTCTCGACAAACGCCGAGCTGCTGTGAGTCTCTCACTGCGGTATCTTCTACCGTCCCCCCTGCTCCTGGTGCTGTTGCTGCTGCTGGGGGTCATGGATTCGTGTGGCTGGCAGTAGAAGCCGTCGTGGTAGATGTCGTGGATCTCTGCTCGTTTGAAATGTAGACGCTCCGTTCTGCCCCCTTACATCCCTCGCCCCTTCGTGTCGCGCGCTGCTCGCTGCCGTCCCCTGCGGCGCAACTCTCGTGGGTTCCGGGTCTCCCGAACCTTTGCCAACTCCTCCAGACCGTACGATATCGTGGCGACGTCGCACGATGCCGGGATCATCGAAGCTATCCCTGACACCGTCTCGATCGACGCTCTCAAGAAGGTGTGCGTGGGGTGTTTTTGGTGTTGGTTGGGCCTCTGGCGGGCGCGCGCGGGGGCGGGGCGGGGGGTAGGACACGCAGGATGACGGAGCCACCGGTTGATTTCTGATGCTGTCTCGTGGTAGACATCGGGGTGTGGGATTGTGGTGTCGTTGGGCGAGATCGGTTGAGGCTCAAGTGGAACCGGTTAACGCGTTCGTCGCGTTTTTTTCACGTGTATTCCGGCAAAAGCGGCGACAAACTCAGTAGTTAGTTTCCACCCACACACCATAGTATTCTCATCTCGGCCGCGTGGTGGACACGTGATTCTGCGACGCCGCTCTTCCCCATTGGTCCGTGCTACAGTACAAGCAAACAACAACGGGGGGACGTGGACGCCCCCACCCCGTCCACGAGCTGAGTGAACTGGTACATATCACAAACCAGATTCCTGCTTGTTCCAACTCAGCCCCCTTGTTTTGCCTTGCGCTGCTCTCTCTCCCTCCCTCTCTCTCTCTCTCTCGCTCTCTCTCTCTTTGGTGCAGAACGACCCGCTCTACACTACCCTGCTGGACTTCTTCCACCGTCACTTCGGACCCCCCAAGTCGGAAGGGTTCCAGCGCGCGCGGCGTTTCTTCGTGGAGTCCCTGGCGGCCAATTGCATCGTAACATACCTGCTGCAGGTGTGTGTGTGTGTGTGTGTGTGTGTGTGTGTGTTTTTTATTATTAGCATCGACCGCGCTAACCGGCTGACCAATGAAAAGACGTCAGTCTTAGTGCGGTTGAAAACACAAAACACTTCTATCTACCATTACCTGGGACCCCGTGAGCGGGCAGCATGGGGGAGGCTAAGCTATCCTTCGGATCAAAAACAGAAACAGCAGCAACAGAAGAAAACTGCACCCGTCTACCAAGGCTAGTACCTAGTACTCGAGTTCGTTTAGGAGTACTTTCACCAGTATCCTTCTTGTTTTCGCCACCATCATTCTGATCCTCATTTCGACAAGAAGAATCTCTGGGCAGTTCTTCCCTAGCCCTACGTTTCTTGTTGTGGGGAAGGTCATCTGGCTCAAACCCTTTGCTCTCTTCCACTCCTCCATGTTTTCCTGCTCCATCGTCGTTTTCGTCCTCCTTTCTTCCCTTTCCCTTTCCTTCGTCTTCGTCACTCCCAAAAGAATTACTCTCACCACTATCGTGTGTGTGTGTGTGTGTGTGCTTTTATTATTGGCATCGACCGCGCTAACCGGCTGACCAATGAAAAGACGTCAGTCT